TATGAGCTTTTGTGGACGTATAGAATTCAGATATGGGCATTCTTAAACTCTAAAAGATAACATTTTCCACCTTTATTCAACCATAACCTCATTCCGTTCATTAGGTTTTCATTTTAGCATGGTTTTGGTGTTGTAGCTTCATACACCATGCGTGCACGTAAAGTTAGCAACTTTACGTGTTATGTTAACCTAGGGAGTCTAGATCTTTGAGATGGAAGTATTGCAAGTGATTAGAATCGACTGTATGGTTTTGGCATCAAGGGGCTCGACGAGTTGTTTATATGACTCGGTGAGTCGAGTCGTGGTCCCCAAACCTTTTCTGTTTTCGAGTGAGCTCGTTGAGTTAGTAAGTAACTCAGCTAGATGGACGAGATCTAGACTAAGAAGTTGAAGAACTCGGCGAGTCTGTGAAGGGACTCGACAAGTTGATTCGTCTTTCCCCGAGTCTGTATTAGATAGAACTCGGAGAGTCTACGAAGGAACTCGATTAGTTGACTCAGTTTCTCACGAGACTGATAACATAGTACTCGACGAGTTAGCAGATAACTCAGCGAGTTGGGTTGACTGGGAGTTGACATTGGCTTTGATCTTAACCAAGAGCATTGACTTTGATCAAGGGTAAAATGGTCATTTTACCCTGAGAAGGATTTTCATATCTTAACTAAGTATTATTGTAATTTTGATCGCTGGGGAGATGTTGGAGCAGCTATCAGATATTCCTCACTGCGAGATTTCACAAACAACTTTACAAGGTGAGTTTTCTCCTGTAGTAATGGGTCTATGGCACCTAGGCCGGCCCGTTTAATTAGCCGTAGTTTCGGATTACGGTCTGATGTCGGACCGGGCCCGGTGTAAGGCTATATATTTTTCCGGATCTCGATCCGATGTTGGGGCAATCCCGAGGAATGCTTGTATTCTTGTATACTTCATATATTTGTGATTATTGCATGTGACTGTTATGTGTTAGGTGTTCCAGATTTCGGTCTAATGACGGGGAAAGTCCAAGGAATGTCTAGTTAGTATGTTTCCGGACTCCTGTCCAATGCCAGGGAAGTTCCCGAGGAATGTTAGTATGCTTCCAGATTTCGGTCCGATATCAGGTTAAGCCCGAGGAATGTCTTGTTCGTATGATATGATAGTATGTTTCCAGATCTTTGTGCGATGTCGGGTAGGACCCGAGGAATGTTTTAATGTTAATATATGTGTTATGTTATATGTTAGTTGATATGTTATTATGTATGCCGAGATTTGCTCGATGTTAGGCGGAGCTCGATGCCGAGTGGGGCCCGATGCCAGGAAAGGCGATGCCGAGCTAGACTCGATGTAGCAGGGGCGGGGCCCAATATATGTTATATGTTATGTGTATGGTATGTGGTAGTTTGAGGGAGCTCACTAAGCTTGGTTCTTACATTTTTCAATTTGGTTTCAGGTACTTCAGCTAGCAAAGGGAAGGGATCAGGGTGATCGCATGACACACAACAAAGTTTCCAGCCTGGGATATTTACTATGATATTTGATACATGTTTTGATACATTGTCAGATTTTATGATGTTTCGAGCTACATGACTTATGTTTTGATGTGAAGTTCGATTATTCATGGTTTTGATAATGAATTAAAACTAAAATTTTACACCGTATTTTTGGGATGTTTCAACTCTATACCAGCTAAGCTTATGTGGATACAATAGAAGATTACTCACATGAAAAAAAAACAAAATGAAACAAAAGCAGTCCAGGTTAATTATAACTAGGGCCTTTGTATGCTTTAGTTTTAGGAGACAGAAACATGAAGATTTGGTTTTGGGGGACAATAGCTTGCAACTAAACAGTTAGGTATCTAACAAGTTAAGAAATATCCAATTTCGTAGAAATGATTTCCTCATGTTCATGCCCAACTATTTTGGTAAGTAATACTATCATACTTTCTTTTTATCGTTTACATAAACCTAAGGTTGTAGAACTCGTTACTCGGTACCTGTTCGAACGACTACCGAGTAGCGAGTACTCGGGGAGTACTCGGATTTGGAAATTTGTGTAGAAATATTTTTAGGAAAATTATATATATCAAAATCATAAGATAAAATCATACGTTGATTGAAATATATAACAAAATTGGATACATGTGAATACACAAAAAATGAAAAACACATAATGGTCTCACTTCGTGAATAATTACTGAAAATTTAAGATATATGTGTAGTAATAATCACATGTGTGTGTATTAAATAATAAATCATTAAGTATATTATACATATTAATCACCGAGTTGACCGAATTTTACAGTACTACTCAGTTCGTAAGGGACCGATCGGGGAGTACTCGGGATTATGTAACTCACCTCGGCAAGGGGGGAGTAGCGAGTACTCAGAAGAGTAATCGGCCAACTCGGCGAGTTTTACAACACTGCATAAACCTAACTATTCTACTTTTACTAAGTTGGTTAGGGGTGTTTACTTATTGTACAAAGAAGGTCTAATTTACCTTTTCAACTTTCAGCATTGTTGTCATTGTATTATCTTAAATTTTTTTTATATGGGAATCATTGTTGTCGTTGTATTAGCTTAAATATTTTTTTATATGGGAATCGGTATATTTATTAATGATAAGTGATTCTTTAAAATTGTGCCAATTGGTAAAGTGATTCTTTGTTATTCAGATAGAATAATGAATAAGGATTGGATTTATCATTATCAACCATTTTTTTTATATCATTGTGGAGATTATATGTTCTTGGTTGCATTGTATAGCTAGAGAACTCCAAAATCTCAAGGTACGAAGCATTGTAAAATCAAGTACAGGTTTCGCTTCTAGAACTTTTTATTACAAAATAAGGTCAACAATAAATATTGATTATCCTAGTTCATGCATTTCACAATCAATTAGCTTGCTCGCATCACCATCGGATGACTCAAATATAAAGCTTCTTAAGGGTGGATCTTCATCATGCACCCTTGTGGTTATATGCATTTTTACTTGGGAAACCAACATTAGCAAAAAATGATCAGTTTCACCCAATAACTATTTAACTAACTAATTTACTTTTATGTATAGTGTTAGTACCTTTGCTATGTTTTAGATAGAAAACAACGCATGAAACTGCAACTCGTGGAGCAGTCGGTCCAAAAAAAAAACAAGTGGGTGGTGCTCGCAGGTGTAAAGGTATTCATTATTGACTATATCATATGGATATTAATTAATATGTATAATAATTTTGACCAAACTACCTTCATTGTATATATACTAAAATAAATAATTACAAATTCAATATATATATATATATATATATATATATATATATATATATATATATATATATATATATATATATATATATATATATATATATATATATTTTGTATAAGTTTGACTTCTCTCTGGTGTTTTTAGTTGTGTTTTAATTTCATAATTTTTATCCATGGAGAAATGATGTTGTTAATTAATACTCAGCTATATTGACACTTATGCATGGTCGAGGATCACATAGAGGTGTCCGAAAGTTTAAAGGGTGTTTGTGTACGTGCAATGAAGAATGAGCATTCTTAGGCCCCGTTTGATACGCATCTTTCCAGGTTCAAATAGATCTTTCTGGCTGAATGGATCGGAAAGACTGTTTGATTTGCACAAAAGAATGAGTCATTCCTGGTAAGATATGTTTATCCCAGAAAGCCTCAAAATCATATCTTTCTGGCTGAATGGGCTGGAAAGACAATTATACACCAAACCCCGCATCTTTCTTTCTTTATTGCGTTATTAATTTTTTTAAATAACTTTTTTTAAATTTATTTTTTTATTAAATTATTTTTTTTTTCATCATTCAGCACAGTCAATCAGATGTACAATCAAACAACATGATTTTTTTTCCAATTAGAAAACTTTCCCAGACAGCACTTTACCGGAAAACACTTTCTCAGACAGAAATTATCAAACGGGACTTTAGTATGGAAGCATACCTAAGAGCTTAGATTATCATTGCTTTCATAGGTCAACATTGTTTTTTTGTTCTTCATGCTTATATTTATTTGGATTCAATGGAATTAGACCATGTTTGGTTGGGCCTTTAAGAATGGATTGAGTTTTCATCATAATTTTTTTTATATTTATGTAAATTTGTATGATTTTTTTTACGGAATACTCAAAACACAAGAACAAAAAGGACAGATGGGATTCCAATTCCTAACATAAAGTCATTGATAGTAATACTAATCAAGATGCATTTTAAACTTGATCAACAACATGTTTTACAAAGATATACCTTTCAACCCCGTAATGGGGAGAATCTTCCGTAGTTCATTGTAAATGAATGATACACACATAATATGTATAGGATACCATACAATTAGCAATGGGCCATGGGCCTACACATAATAGATACATGATATACATATAATTACAGAATGTGTAATAATATATACGCGATACAATAGGCCATGGGCCTACCTACAAATGACACTATACAAAATAGGCTAATCTAGAATACAATTATTTCAGAGGAGGTTATATTTTTTGTTTTTTATTTATTCATTTAAAAATAATGTTTTGATATTTATATCTTTCACTTTAATTGAAGAAAAAATAATAATAAAAGCATAAAAATAAAAACACTTTTATTTTAATGAAATAAAAGAACACAAATGAAAATATCACCTTTTTATTTCACTAGTTTGGGAAACAACACATCACATGGTGAAATGAAAAAAATAAATCTACATTCAATCAATTGATCTAACATTAAAAAGTAACAAGCCACGAACTAGAATCAAATATAATATATGAAATATAATTTTGAAACATTTTAAACATGTAACATATCGTACATTATTTAATAATATATCTTACATTATTTAATAATGTATATAAAATTAATGATGAAAATTATATTTTACAATTTCTTTCTTTAACGGTAGGCCACCCCAAGGATTTAAAGCCTGTATAAGTCAAATCTAACCCGACTTTATGTTGGTATGTTAATTTGATACAAAGTAATCTTATAATAGAATCTTTCATGCATGCAGATGAGCTACAAGGCAAAGATCTTTCCGCTTATGCATGGTTATCCCTTCCATCGCCTCAAAGTCCAAGTCTTCTTTCCTCATGCCATCGGGTAAAGCCCAATCAAACAGATAAACAAGATTAGCAATCAATAACTCCACTGTCACAACACCCATCGACATTCCAGGACAAATTCTTCGACCACCTCCAAATGGAATGAACTCAAAATTGTTCCCTCTAAAATCAATATCACTACCCAAAAACCTCTCTGGTATGAACTCCTCTGGGTTCTCCCAAACTTCAGGGTCCCTTCCAATAGCAAATGCATTCACGTAAACTATGGTTTTTTTGTTGATTTTGTAGCCATGTAAAATGACATCTTTCTGACTTTCTCGAGGTACTAAAAGAGGAGCCGGAGGATATAACCTCAAGGTCTCTTTTACAACTGCCTTCAAATAGGTGAGCTTTGAAAGATCATCCTCATCTACTCTACCCTTCTTTCCAACTACGTTTCTCACTTCTTCTTGTGTTTTCTTCATTACCTTCGGGTCGCTTACTAATGATGTCATTGCCCAAATCACTACAGCGGCGCTAGTATCTGTCCCAGCTACCAAGATATCCTAACACAACAATCAGGCGTTGGAACCAAGAGAGCAGAGAGTGAAAGGTTAATCTACCATTAAAAGATCCTTAACAATACCTTAATTAAAAGCTAAGGCATAAAAAGTTTAAATATATATGAGAAATAGAAACATATTGATGAAGCCGACTACATTTCATTATTGTCGTGTGAATGGTTGTTGTTGAAATGGTTATTTGAAAGGTAGGGTAGGCTATATATAATTTAATTTTCATTAAAAAAAAAGGTGTGCTTGTAATTTACGAAGTAGGGACCATATAATAATTAGTTATATGCTTTCATTCACCTTATACTCCAATCATGGACCATATATTATTGGCAGAACACACGAGTGGCTGGGGAGGCCACTCCTTCTATCACACTAATTTCCAAATCATATATTAGTTAGTTAAAAATTGAAATGATTTTATTAACACTTACAAATGTTTCTAAACACAAATAGCATTTGTTTACTCTAAATTATATAAAATATTCAATGTTAAAAATACAAAAAAAATATAATTGTTTTAAATAATCTGTCATTAATTAAAAGTATAATTTAATTATAATAAATTAATACCTAAATATAAATAAAATATGATGTCTAATTTTTAGTAATTTAAAGTTCAATCATAATTAAATTATTCAAATAATGTCATTTAGTGTTAATAAGTGTATTTTAGTAGTGATGTATATCAGTTAGTACAAAAAAATTTATCTTAAAGATTTATGTGATTATAAGAAAATACTTTTGAAAATGCAACTTGATTAACGTTCAATGTGAAAATCATAGACAATCAACATCTTATTTAGAATTATCCAATTGTTAGTTAGTTGCATATATTTTTTTTTTTTTTGGAAAGAGATCTTCCCTAACGAGGGTTTCCGGGCCAGCTTTCGCGCACCGACTAATCCCGCTGCAAATATAAAGCTTTGCTTCATGCCCTGGAGTCACTGCAGACGAACCTCCATGGCCACAAGGGCTGAGTGGTATTAGTATTTGAACATGGGTCAATAGGTTATCCATCATATCTTCCACATGCCTTACCAAGTCACCACAACCCAAATGGTAAATTGCATATTTACTCTTCGCTATAATAAAGAGATATCACTTACAATATGAGGAGAAGACCACAGTTGATGGTTAAAATGTATCCTATCTGTAATGATTGGATTCAGAGTTTTAGAAAAACTTTCGATGTGATTAAAATGTGTCAAACGTTTATTATGATAAGTTTTCATGGGACATATATATGAAAATCAAAGTTGATGGTTAATGAAAATTTTGTGAAATAATGACCACTAATCCAACCAATATAATGAGCAGGTAATGATTACCACGAGCATGCCTTTAATGTGGTCGTAAGTGAAATTGAAATCCTTGTCTTTCTTAAGTCGGAGTAGAATGTCAACAATATCCTCTTCTTCCTCGTTAGACTTTCGGTTTTGAGGGTCGAGGTGTTCACGAATAAGTTCTTCGTAAAATGAATCAAGACTTTTGAAGCATTTTTCTACCCGATCCATCTTTCCCAAGAACCTATCAACCAAACCCACAAAAGGAAGACCAGGCCAAAGATCTGAAACAAAAAATTCTGCCGTTATCGATTGAACTTCATTAAGTAGTCGAAGGACCTTTTTTCTTTCATGTTCATCCTCATAACTCTTCCCAAAACCCACTCTTGTCACTAAAGTAATGGCCACATGCTTCATAGTTTCGCTCAGGTTTACCGTCTTTGACGAAAGAGCTAGCTCATATATCTTCTTCATGGTACTTGAGACCTCGTCTTCACGAATATACCTAAAAGATTCTACTTTTTTAGGGTTCAACAAATGAAACATATAAACCTTTCTCATATCTCTCCAATAATCGTTATAGGGAGAAAAAGTTACATCAAGGCCATTGTAGCTTAACTTTTTTGATCCAACAAATGAAGGCCTATTGCAAAAGATGATATCTTGGGTTTTCAAGACTTCTTTCGCTACATTCGCAGAAGAAACAACGATAGCTGGAATGAAACCGAATTGAAGAGATATGATTGGGCCGTAGGATTTAGAGAGTTGCCATAGGAAAGTATGGAGGCTCGAGTAATCGATCTGGTGCAAGTTTCCGATGAAGGGTAACCCATGAGGGCCTGGCGGATATGAACATGATCTGTTTTTGATGATTTTTGAAAGAAGGTAGAGGAGAGATAGGAGAGGAACACACACAAGAAGAAACAGAAAAAACGGTGCCATCTTTAAGATTCTACGAAACTCTAGTAGTAGTTTTGGTTATATTGACTACGTACACGTAAAGATAAATGGATAATAGTGTGCTGGATTTGGATGCATGATAGCCACACAATAAAATTATAATTGCGTGCACAATGGCGGCATCACAATAGGTATCCAAATCCAATAAGGATTCTATTCAAGTGAAAAGAACAATCTCAATTTGTCTTCCATCACAATCAGAGGATATTATGTAGGCTCATTTAGTATATTTACAAGAAATCAATATTGAAACTTTTTATTTATATAACTAAAGAGGTTTAAAACATTATATTTTTATTATCCTTATTTAGTAAGTTGTTATTAATATATAACCAAAGAAATTGTATATATATATATATATATATATATATATATATATATATATATATATATATATATATATATATATATATATATATATATATATATATATATATATATAATCCGGACATTCAGGTATATTGTTTATTTATTTATTTATCTAATTTGAGGACTATTGAGCTACTCGACGAGTCGGTGCTCCAACTCGTCGAGTAGAGTCACGATGTGCCACGTGGGGTTAATGACCTACTCGATGAGTCCGAGAGCCAACTCGTCGAGTAGATGTTGGGATGAGAAACCCTAAATTCTCGGGTTTGGAGCCTATTTAAAGGCACTTATAGCCTCATTTGTGGCTATACTTCCCTGGGAGAAACCCTAATCGCCCTTTGAGTTTATAGAGAGAGTGTGTGAGCTAACTTTGAGTATTTTGGTGTATCTTTGGAAGATAAGAGAAGGATTTCAAGCAAGGAGCAAGAGGAGGCTGTTAGATCTATTGTTATTCTTCCAAGAGCTCCTGTTAAAGGTATAAAGTTCAAACCTTTCTCATTTATTTGGATAGATCTCATCTTTTTGGAGATTAGGGCTGTTTTTCTATATATTATTAGAGCTTTGAGGGTATTGAGTTCATATGTAAGGATGAGCATCAGAACTGGGTACCCGTTTTCGAAACCGGAACCGCCTCGGAACTGTCGGTTCCAGAACCGGAACCGCCTTGAGCGGTTCCAGTTCCGGTTTCTAAAGTTACGGAACTGCCTTAAGCGGTTCCGGTTTCGGTTCTCATTTCTTCGGAACCGCTACCCGTTGAGTACCCGCCGGAACCTGTTTATATATATATATATATATATATATATATATATATATATATATATATATATATATATATATATATATATATATATAGTATATGCTAGTAATATTAATTTGTCTGTGTTATTTAGACTGATTTAAAATATATTGGTCTGATTTTGTCCGTCTTTGGTCTGAATTTATGCGATTTCGACTGAGCTAAATTACGTTTTATTGAAAGTTTTTAATAAAGTTGATGTAACCGGGTTATCCGCTCCTAGAACTGGAACCGTCGGTTCCGGGAGTGGTTCCATAAATTTAAAAACTACATTGGTTCCATTTCCAGTTTTAACTTTCTAGGAACCACATGTTCCGGTTCCGATTCCGGTTCTTGCCAAATGAGTCGGGTACCCGCCTATGCTCATCCCTATTCATATGGACGGTTGGAATTCAGATCTGGACCTTGTGAGGTCCCTAGAATCCAAAAGTCCCTACTTTATTCAGCCTTAATGGAACTCTTGAGTGAAAAACCTTTATTAGAGCATGTTCTTGGCACTTCAAGCCCAAAGTGCCATACATGGATGTAAAGTCTATGACTTTACGTGATAAATGAACCTTGAGAATGAGTTTGGGGAAGTTTTTTGCCTTAAAATCGTCTAATTGGGGAAAGAGTCTGAATGGACTCGCCGAGTCGAGGAGCCGACTCTACGAGTCGATTAAGGTTTGTCCCGATGAGCTGTTGTCAATGATGTTACTCGGCAAGTTAGGGGTTAACTCGATAAGCTGGACCATCAAAATGACCTCTGAGTAACAACTGGACTCGACGAGTCACATGAGTGCACTCGACGAGTCAGGTCAAACTGGGACTGTTGACTCGAGCTGACTTCTGTTGAATTTAGGGTTTGGCCAACATAAGTAATGGAGACCTTGGAGGGGTAAAACGGTCTTTTACCCATTCCAAGAGTTAGAGAGAGAGAGAGGGAGGAGAGAGAGAGAGAGAGAGAGAGAGGGAGAGAAAGAGAGAGAGAGAGAGAGAGAGTGTGTAAGAGAAACTTTTGGTGTATTTGAGTAAGAGTAGGGCATTGATTAGAGATGTTTATCTAATGTGTTAGGCGGAGGCTAGTTCTGGATTTTCGAGTATGTGTCTTTTACTTGCTAGTTTACGAGGTGAGTCTTCTCACTATTCATACGAAGAGTGGTATCTTCATGTGATTAAGCTGTTTTATGTGTTTATCTGTGTATTGTAATATTCTGCATTATGTATTTGTGATTCATGTTGAATATTGTTACAGAGATGGGACTGGAGGGTTCCACTAAGGCACATCGACCGGAGGGACTTATTAAGTTATGGCCTAGAGTGGTTAATGAGTTGTGTATGGCATATTGGGGAACTCACTAAGCTTTATGTTTACTGTGCTATGTGTTATCTGTTTCAGGTACTTCTCAGGATCACGGGAAGGCATCGGCTTGATTTTACATACACCGGAGATTGTTTTATGATTGAGACTGAAGTTTTATATACAGTATTCTTTTGGACATGAGTTTTGATAAATTGACATTGTCGCACTTTGTCGTTTTATTATTGGAATGAATGTGTTTGAAATTTAAAAATTTGGTCAAAAAATTTACGTCGTTACAAGTTGGTATCAGAGCTTTGGTTTGATGGATTCAAATGCACCTCCTGGTGTGTTTGGGCTCAAACTGAGGATTTGAGAAGAATTTTTAAAAGAAAAGAATTTTCCCAAAACAAGAACGGGTTTTAAGAGAAAACAAGTTGAAGCGATGTGTACAATCTGAAAGAGCCCGAACTGTGATTTCCCAAAATACCCTTACTTTTGTGTTACGTGATATTTATGAGATATTTTACTAAAATTGCATGCTAGAGGGTAGGCTATGTATTTCTTATTCTAGGGCTAGAGTTGTCTGATTTGTGATGCCTTAGCCTAGGAGATGCTTTGATCAGTGTTATCTGTTATTTGCTTGAGTATGTACTGAGTTCTGAGTCAGGAAATAATCTAGGAAGAGATACTTAGATAACCTTAAAGGGGGTCTACTGAGAAGGTAGTGTGTGATTCGTGAGATATATAGTATTTATGAATTAGAATCCTAGGAGGAGGACTTGGGGTGACTACAGGTGGGGTGTGGAAGGTAGTATTGGGCCCGAACTGCTGAAATCACCCCATCTGCAGGCAACCTAAGTAAGAATCCTTAGGATGCTAAGGAGCAAGTAAGGATGAGTAGTCGAGTGTGAATATGCTCGAGTGAGTCTCTAATTATTTTGTGTTGTGTTTTAGAGACATCATGGTAGGTAGGCGCCACACCCTGGGGAGTAGTGGAGTTAGCGATGATGATATTCGCAGGATGATTCACGACGAGGTGGCCACATCCATACGAGAGGCTATTCTGGAGATGTTCAGGTCTATTAAAACTATTTTGATTGAGACGTTTGATGAGTCATATGTTGCAGTTTCTGAGGCGGCTACTGCTGCAGCCACCGTAGCTATCGCTGCTGCCAGACTACAGGGAGGTGACTCGTTGCTGTACCGAGAGCTCGGCAACACAAAGCCACCATAGTTTGATGGGAAACAGGATCTGATTGCTGTGATGAGAGGGATCTCTGATATTGAGGGGTGTTTCTACACTTTTTCATGCCCAGATCATTTGAGGGTGCGGTTCGCGCTGAACCAGCTTCGCTTCGGAGCGAAGGATTGATAGAAGTTTGTGACGACCAATTTTACTCCTGCAGAGCATGTTGTGGTGACTTGGAAGAGGTTTGTTGCGATGTTCCGAGATGAGTATGTTCCCCTGGTGGAGAGGGAATGGTTGGCCCAGGAGTTTCTCTCTCTTAAACAGAAGACAGATTCGGTGATTGTGATTACGCGGATGTTTAACGAGAGCGCGTTGTTTTTCCCTGAGCATGTGGCAACTGAGCAGGCACGCATAAGCTGGTACTTGAGCATTCTGGGGAGGGATATTCCGGAGTTCGTGGCGAACTTGCCTTATCGGACATTTTCTCAGCTCAAGGAAAATGCCAGGAGGAGGGAGATCGAGCAAGAGACTCAGGTGAGGGAGGACACAAAGTCTCAGGTGAGAGACTGGCTACCGGCACAGTCGCAGCCGACAGCCAAGCCGGCTAGGCCCGCTGATTCGAGATTAGGAGGCCATAAGGGCCTCACTTTTGGCAAGTGCGACAAGAGTCATGAAGGATCTTTTCAGGCGGGGATTTGCTACAAATGTGGAAGGAGGGGCATATGGAGAAGGATTTCCCCAAGGGTTTTGCAGTATGTTTGCACTGCAATCAAACCGGCCATCGGAAGGTCAAGTGCCCTCAACTTGTTCAGGGATCAGCCCAGGTTTCCACACATGTTGCTGTTGGATTAGTGTCTAAGTCCATAACTATTTTGGTATGTACTTGACCCGATGGTGCATGGTCCTTTTGGGTTGCCTTCACCAAAGCAACTTGATTGGAGAAATATATATAGAGAGAGAGGATAATATGATTTATTAATATGTTATATGAATAACATATTAAAGGAGAAAT